CCCCCGCCCAGTCTTCAGATTCCCCAGGATTTCATTTGTTTGAGGCACTGGGAGGGGGGTTGCATGGAAGGATTTAATGCCTTTAATGTTTCAGGTCGTATGCAGTGTTTTATGTACTGAGGGTGGGTTGCACAGACTCAAAAGCTGGGGCAGCATCTATGGCAGGGATCTCCAGAGGGTGTGAACGCACGATTTTAAACCTTTGCATTGAAGTGGTTCAGTCCCTCTGGCTCAGTGCAGGGCTTGTAGGGGAGGATTTCCTCCAAGGGCTTTGCGCTGTCTTTCCCCTCAGAGAAAGAACGGCAGCTGTTTCACTGGGAGGCAGTCTTTATCGGAGGGCTCCCACCACCACCACCACCATCCTGGGGCCAGAGGGACAGGCAGGCAAGTTCCAGAAGGGCCGTCTGACAATGACACCTGGCCTTCCTCTCTGCAAAAGGGCCAGAATTCGGGCCCTGTCCTCGCCTTACCCCACAGAACCCGGTCGCAGCCACTGCGAGGATCTTCGCTCTGAGCCTTGCCGCGGCAGGGTTGCAGAGGAGGGAAACGCCTGCTTTCCTCCCCCACCCTCCCAAATGGAGATGCACCTCCCTCTGAAAAATAAAAAAAAAAGCATAGGTGCTGAGGACGGGACTGGCAGAGGCAGCTCTGGAGCCCAGGCCCAGCTCGAACCCTGGTCTGTTGAGGAGAGGGAGTGGATGCAGGGGACCGTCCACTGCTCTGGGTGCATCTACATAGGTCACCAAGAACGCTTTCCAGAGGGAAACAGTTTCCCTCCTCACACGGATCGATGTGGGAGGCCTTGCCCCCTTGCTGTTGGCAAGAGGTGGGTGTGCTGGACCCCAGAGGCCCCCGGACGGGGGGGGCAGCCAAAGAGTGGGATTTCCGCACCTGAATTGAGAGGAGGTGGAGGAGGCAAGGGCTGGACAAAGGTGAGCTGAAGACCAAAGATCACCTTTTTATCTTTCCTTCTGAGGAGCAGCTCCACAAAGACAGGCCTCCTCCGTGGATCCCTCCTTGGCTGGGCTGGATCTCTGGGTAAACAGGTCCCAAGGACAAAACAGGGTTTGGAGCACCCTGCCGGAAGCTCTGGGGGCAGCTGGAAGTTTTCCATCGCCTCGGTGGAAAATTCCAGTCTTGGACTGATGCATTTTATTGCTGCTAGTCCCTGTGAGGAGGTGGTGAGCCAGGGATCCCACCTCGGGCTGGGGGGGGGGGCTTCTCAAGTCCAGCCACTTGTCCATGGCTTGCCTGAATGAACAGCAGTGGGGCTGAGAGGGGCAGCGGGGGGGGGAGGTTGGATGGGAACCCAGAGACCAGGTTCTCCAGCCGTTGGGTTAGCGGGTCTGGGGAGGTGGGAACCCACTGGGCCTCAGGCGCAACGGCAGGTGCAAGCCTGGAAGTCTGTGTAGGGAGCCCCCTCAAGGCAGGTGCAGCCATCCCAGCCGTCGTCCTCTTCTTTCTTTCCGATGGTTCCTGGAACAGGCCCGGGGATGGTCCTGCCTTGTCTGGCTGCTCTCCTGATGGGTGGGTGGGGGGTTCTCCCTCTCTCGTCTCCCTGCAGGTATGCCATGGCAGTGATGAACCACCACGTGTGCCCCGTTGAGAACTGGTGAGTCCCTTTCCGTCATGCCAGAGAACACAGCCGGGCGGCTGGTGGGCGGCTGGGGCTTCCCTCTTCCCTCAGCCCCCCCCCCCACCAGTGGACACCCGCTCATGACGCGTTCAAACCCTTGCAGGTCCTACAATGAGTCTTGCTCCGCCGACCCTGCCAAGCAGGGCTACCCCAAAAGCTGCTGCACCTTGGAGGACATCCCACTGATCA